GTTCGCAGCCCCAACGCCCATCGGAATCCACTTGCCGATAGTCTGGGGAAGCTTCGGGGCCCCTCTGCACCAAATCGCGAACCAAGCCAAACCCACCGGACTTTCCCCCAATCAGCCATCCGCTTGCGCAGAATGCCAGGATGCGGACCTTGCTATCGGGCCTACCCCAACCAGCAGGGATCCACATGATAAGCGGTCCCCGGCAGCAAATGGTAAGTTGCCGGCGATAAGTTGCCTCTCCACTCCACTCTCCTTGCCCCACTGCACGAAGTGGCACTCCACCTTTATCGTCCTCCTCGGGCCGATGCCCCCCATCGGCCCAGCCAATCCGATGCTGCGAAGCCCTTGCGAGAACGGGGAGAATGCAGCTGCAGGGACCGCCAGTGATAGGAAACGACCCGCTTCTCGCTCTCTCCCCACTCACTTATCTCGCATGGCATGACCCGCTTGACAACCGGCTGCTCCTTTTAATGCGTAAGTATCTCCCCCGAAATATCTCTGGTCACACGAGATTCGAGATTCCATGCGCTAGGCCGTGTGCATTGGTGAAACGTTCATCCTAATGGCCGCTAATTCGAACCCCGACGAGGCAGTCGCCATGGATCTCAAAGATGGAGACTTCAAGATGACTGAGGAGACATCGGCTGGCGAGTCGCTGGATGTGGTGCTCGACCCCAAGATGGAGCAGAAGCTCCTGATGAAACTAGACATGGCCTTCGTGCCCATCATTATGCTCACCTACTTGTCCTGCTTTTTGGACCGCGCAAATATCGGTAGGCCACTCGTGGAGCCAGTCGAAACATGAATAGACGATGCTGATGGAGAATAGGAAACGTCAAGGTCGCGAACATGCCGGAAGATATCCATGCCTCGGATAGTCAATACTCAACCGCCGTTTCCATTTTCTACGTCACCTATGTCCTCTTCGAGTCGCCATGGGCTGTGCTCATGAAGAAATTGACCCCTCGCAACATCTTGACCGGCTTGTGTATCGTGTGGTCTTTGACCACCGTTTTCACGGGCTTCATCGAGTCTGTGGGCTCCCTTTATGCGACGAGGCTCATTCTCGGTGCGTGCGAGGCCGGGCTGTTTCCGTGCCTGAACTTGTATTTGACTATGGTCTACCGTCGTGAGGAGCAAGCGAAGCGCGTATCCTATCTGATGAGCTGTGCCGCCATCTCCGGGGCCGTCGGTGGGTTGCTGGCCTATGCCATCCTCCATATGGATGGGGTTGGAGGCAAGGCAGGCTGGAGGTATGTTCTTTATTGCAGAGGCCCCCCCCCCTTTTATTTTCCCCCCATCGACTTTGACTGACACCTTCGTAGATGGGTATACATCATTGAAGGCCTTTTTAGCGGCCTGTGTGCTATTCTCATCTGGTTCGGCCTGCCGAATAACCCTGCCGAGGCCTATTTCCTCACCGAAGAAGAGAAATGGATGATGCGCGTGCGCAATGAACAACGTCGGCAGTACATGGGGAGCGAAACGTTCAGCTGGGAGGAGATGCGCAATGCACTACGCGACCCCAAGCTCTACCTTTCGGGAGCCGTTCAATTCTGCCAGGATATTCTCCTGTATGGATTCAGCACCTTCTTGCCCGGCATTCTCCACGGCATGGGCTATAGCTCTCTGATGAGTAACGTGATGACCATCCCGGTCTATCTCTGGGCTGCCATGGTCTTCATCGCTGTGGCGTTCTGTGCTGATCGATACTCCAAGTTTGCATCGGTACGCGGCTCCCGCCTTTTCCTTCCCACTGTACTCTCCGCTGACCACCATGCTAGTTCATTTTTATCTGCAACCTTTTCGGCATCATCGGCTACATTCTGTTGCTGACCGTGAAAAGCACCGCTGTGCAGTTCTTTGCAACCTTCTTGATTGGGATTGCCACTTATACCGGTCCTGGGCTGAACATCGCGTGGCTGAATGTGAACACTGCCCCTCAGTACCGACGAGCTCTGGAAGTCGGATTACAGCAAACCATGGGCAACTGCGCTGGAATCGTGGCCGGCCAGATTTATCGCAAGTCGCCATATGTGCTCGGTAATGCCTTCTCGCTGGGCGCGCTGGTCGTGTCACAGGCTGTCGTGACGGGCCACGGCTTCTATCTGCGTCGTGAGAATCGCGCCAAGGAACGGATTGAGAATGGCGAGAAGGAGGACAACCGACGGGTTCGCACGGGCGATAGCGCGGTGGATTTCAAGTACCTCTACTGAGCCGGGGCTATCGTGCCGCTCGGCCTTTGCTGCGAGTGATGTTTAGTTCGGTCTGATGTAAATAAATCCACCGGATTAATCAAATATACTATTCCATTATCTAATTATCTGATTATTGTCCCTTTTCTTGATTCGTCTCGAGTTCATGTACGAACCGTGGAACCGTTCTGGTCCGGCCGCCTCGAGTGAATGACGCGCACGAAGCCGCGAAGCACATAAAAAGGGAAGCGTCCGTCGCAGCGATAGGAACACACCTTGCCTTGGACTGATTTCGGACCTTATCGGTGATTCCACTTAATCTCCCCAGCCTCTTCAGACCTCTTGTGACACATCATCTCCCCCGCACATGAATACTTGAAGTCGCACCCGCCATCATGGGGCTTTGTATGTCATTCCCACACCGCCGTCGCTTTGGGCCGGGCATGGGCGGGGGATGGGGACCGCCTCCCCGGCGACACCACCACAGTGGAATGGGATACGGCGGAGGATATGGCCCCGGTTATGGTCATGGCCATCATGGTGGTGGCGGATGGGGTGGTCCGTCAGGTGGAGGATACGGGGGATACGGCAGATACGGCGGCGGGCCTGGTCGGCCTGGTTATGGAGGAGGAGGCGGCTTTGGTGGTGGGCGGTCTGGTTTTGGCCCTGGAGGGGGACGGCGACATGGTCGACGCTGTTAGAAAGCGGGGATAGAGCCCGACCATATACAAAAAACCGAGATGGAGGAATTGGTGGAGGATCATTTCGTGCATTTGCAGGGACTTGGAAGATCGGCCACGGCGCAACGGTCTAGGAGAGCTGGCCAGACGACTCGGAGGGGGACTTCGGCTCAGATTCACAATCCGAATGCGTGTCATCGTCAATCTTGAAATCGGTAAACTGCACTTCGACTCCATCGCCGACCGCAAACATGCCAATCACCGGGCCTGTAAAGTCGAAGTCGGTCATCACCGCGGTGTCCACCAGCTGCATACACTGCCAAGGGCCCGCGGAATCATGAAGGAAGAAGAAACCAAGTGATCGTTCCGTGTATCTGATTTGAAATTGAATGGAACCCTCCAGCTTGACCGCGTGGGTGTGCTTGACCCGGTAGGATTTTGATCGGTTGAGCCCCCCGAAGATGACCTGCTTGGCCGGGAAGTCGTATGCAATCGTCAGCGACCGATGCTCATCCTTGTAGAGGGTCAGACCGGCCTGGCTAAGTATGGCATGACCAGGGACGGGATTGCATAGCGTAACGCCTGCTGTTCCCACCAGTCTTCGTTGTCGCTGGCCGGCGAAGCTGACGGCTTGGTCGGCTTGGTGGAGCCCCTCCGGGCTCGCACGTATGGTGATCCGATGGCCCTGAAGGTGGTAGTTTTCCAGGATCGGATCTCTCAAGTAGACCCACGCTGCGACGGGGGAAGAACCGCGGCCGGTCGTCCACGGAGTGGTGTCGGGACGATCTCGGTGTGGAACGACGTCGATGCAGGGCCACTCGTCGTCAGGCCAGTTCACCGCAGCCAAAAAGGTCTCTCTTCCCATGATGGATCGCCCGGCGGCCATGCGCACTCCCAGCATCACCACCCACCATTGGCCGTGCTGATCTTGGAAAAAGTCTCCATGACCCGTATGTTGGACATAATGATCAGTTCCATCCGCACTGTACAGCGGATTCTTGGAGTAGGATTCAAATGGACCCCAGATACTCCGGGACCGCGCGATGCTCAGCATATGATGCCGAAAGGTGCCCCCTTCCGCACACAAAAGATAATACCAGCCATCTTTTCGATACACATGCGGACCTTCGGTGTAGCTCCGGGCCCACCCATTCCAGATGAGAGCTGGCTCGGTCAACATCTTTCCAGTGGCGATATCCACCTCAAAGTTGAAGATTTGGAATTGCGGACCGGTTTTGCACACCTGCACATAGGTCTTCTCGTCGTCGAACAGCAGAGAGGGATCGATTCCCGGGAAGGGGAAGATGATCGGATCGGACCATAGTCCCGAATGAATGTCGGTGGTATGAAGGATGAATTGTTCGCTATGCTCATCGCCCGGTGTGTTGGACTCGTGGACAACGTTGGTACAGATGATATAGGTGATGCCTTTGTGATGGCGGATGGTCGGAGCATAGAGACCGCCCGTGGCCACCAGCGACGTGCCATCGTCCCATGGGGTGATCCAAGTGGTTGCCCGGGAGAGCGACAATTGGGACCGGCGGTTCATTGCGTTGCCTAAGGGTAGTTGGATTTAGCCCCCGTACTTGGCGGTCGCGAGCCGCGCCACATACCAATATGCGTCCACGAGACCAGATCCGAGGAGGTGTAGATGGGGAGACCGGGGAAAAGATGAAAGCTGGAATTCACCAAGAAAAAGGTATCGCCGATCAGGCAGATGGACGGATCAGGCGCAAAGCCCGGAATGATTGGGTGCTGCCCGTCCAAAGCCATCGTGAAGTATGGCAACGATGGGATCGCGTTCCTTCGAAGCATCCACGACAAAGATGTGAGATGTGTCGATGCGGGGGGGGCAGCGCGGCATTCTTTGAATCGTGGCGTTTGGGCATGCCCGTTAGGACACGGCTTAGGATCCGCCTGGGATCGCATGGGGGCGCATCCAACGAGACACGAGAACCAGAGACACCCCGCTTCCTGCGTCCATATAGGCTAAAAGACGGGACGAGACCAGGGGGCTATCGGTGTTTCCGCGGCTCAGGATCGATCTCATGCCCGGGAAAAGGGAATCAGCCTGGCTCTATATAAGCTCTATAGGCCCGTCGGTCTGCGGGGGCACTGCAAGCCTCCGAACTGAGCAGTGAGCAGTGATACGCACGAGCGAGACAACCCCCCCCCCCCTATTCAATTCAATTCAAACACTCTATCTGTTGTGCTTTGTGAGACATGGCCTCGAATAACGAGCTGGCGAAGCCACCCCCGGGCCATTTCTTCCTGGCGGGGCGGACATTTCCAAGAGTTAAATGGTGGAAGCAGCGCAACATGCGCTTATTGTACTTCTACATCGCAGTTTTGATTGCAACCAACACAGCCAACGGGTTCGACAACTCTATGATGTATGCAGCCCGCCCATGTCACAATGGTATCCACTCACACTCCTCTAGGAACGGCTTACAAGCGCTTTCTTTCTGGCAAGATTATTTCCATCATCCCAAAGGCCCAACCCTGGGTCTGTTCAATTGCGTGATGAGTGTCGGCGCATTGACGGGACTTCTCATTCTTCCTTTCATGCTGGATCATTTTGGGCGAAAGTTATGCCTGGTCTTCGGTTCCTGCTTCATGCTCGTTGGGATTGCACTGCAGTCCGCCTCCATCAACTTCTCCATGTTTGTGGGTGCCCGGTATATCCTGGGCTTTGGAGACATCATTGTCATATGTACAGCACCACTGCTTATAACCGAAATCGCGCCCGCACAGGATCGAGCAATCCTGGTCACGATTGCCGGCGCAACTTACCATTCGGGTGCTTTTATCGCAGCGTGGACTACATATGGTACTTTGAAGATCCAGGCAAGTCCCTGCCGCCATGCAAATGCACCATGCCGATCATGGAAATCATGACTGATGCAGCGACAGAGTGAATGGTCGTGGAGAGCACCCAGCCTCATCCAGGGATTGTTTACGCTGTTGATGCTTGCCGTCGTATGGTGGATCCCGGAAAGTCCACGATACTATATCTCCAAGAATCAACCTGAGAAGGGACTGCACATTCTCGCCTATTACCACGCCGAGGGAGATGAGGCTGACGAGGTGGTTCAGTTGGAATTCACGGAAATTACGACGGCAATTGCCATGGAGAAGAATTCGGAGCATTCCAGCTCCTTTGTGGACTTTTTGCGGACACCTGGCAACCGAAGACGACTGTGGATTATTCTTTCCTTCGGCCTCTTTGCTCAATGGTCAGGAAATGGTCTGGTATCCTACTACCTGAATCTCATCATGGACAGCATCGGAATCAAGGATGCGAACAAACAATTGTTAATCAACGGTGCATTGACCTCGTTCAGTCTGGTGACCAATGTCTTCTTCAGCTTTTTTGTCGACCATTGGGGGAGGCGCCCAATCATGCTGGTGAGCTCGGCGGGAATGCTCGTCGCCTTCGTGGTCTGGACCGCCCTCTCCGCACGGTACGACGCGCATGCCAGCGCAAGTCTCGGATCGGGAGTGCTGGGGATGATCTTTATCTATTACCTGTTCTATAACCTCAAGTCTGTCGCGCTTGAATCCGTTCGATGGACCCGCTCGTTGCTAATATCGTCCAGGTCCGGTCTCATCGCCAGCTACACCACCGAGATCCTGCCGTATTCGATGCGCGCCAAGGGCTACACGATTATGGAATTTGCCATGTATATTGCCCTCTTCTTTAACCAATATGTGAACCCTATCGCACTGGACGCTCTTCACTGGCGCTATTACATCTTCTACTGCTGCTTTTTGGCCGTCGAGGTCGTGGTGATTTGGTTCCTTTACGTTGAGACCCGTTATGTTCCGCTGGAGGAGATCACCCGATTGTTCGACGGCGATGACGTCGCTGCGGCAACCAATGTGGAGATGGAGAAGACCTGGGAATCGGGCAAGGGCTTCACTACCGCGGTGCACATCGAAGCGTGATCGCATGGCCGTGGGTTTGCGACAGTCGCTACTGCTCCTCGATCTCGAGGGCCAAGACCTTCGTTCCTCTATACCATGTTTGACAAGCTCTCACTTCCAGTAACATGACCATGTTGAAAACAATTTAGGTCCTCTGCAAGGGGGCGCATGTACCGTTGGGGGGAACCAGGCGGATAGAAAAAACGGCCATTTTGCGAAGAAGGTGGGTGCGTATTCGGTCGTGAGTTTGGCAATCTAAGCGAATATCCCATCAAGTGGTAAGACGGGACCAGACTGAGCCGACTGTACGTAAAGCGATCGGCACAGTGGTCAGCCGTGACGAAAGAAGTGATCGTCGGCCATGAAAGCTTAGGTACAATTAGAGCCATGGGTATAGATCCGCGTGAACCGTGTTCTTTCATGGTTTGGATTGAATCAGGCACGAAAGTCCCCCCGCCCCAAAGTTCTGCTCTGCCATTCCCATAGGACGCTGGAAATCGAACAGGGGCCTCGATCTTGAGTGGGTTGAGAAAGCAGCAACGTGCCCAGCATGCGGCAGAAACAGTCTCGGGCTCAAACCCGAGATGGATTCGTGATGCGATCTACGCCGCACGCAGTATCTTCCGGCATACCGTCACGTCCACGTGCTGGTCTCCGTGCGTAGTGGGACCGCCGTCGAGACTCGCGCGGCGTGATTCTACCATCCATCGAGGGCGCCCATCGGGTCATGATTCGCTCGACGAATCTGTACCGCCCGTTAGGACACCGCGAAGGCCCCGTCGAACCTCGCCTCCCCTCGCAGAACCACCGGCGACTGCGGCGACCTCCAGCCCATCAACGCACCAAAACAGGCGGTTTCACTTGGGAGTCTATGTCAATGATCCGCCCCAGTGACCACCATCAGAATCCGAAAACAATCCCCAAATCCCCTGATTGGGTTGCTGAACAGAATGTAGGTCGAAGACCGAAAAAGAAGTGTGATAAATCTCGCTTCCCATGCCTGAATTGTGCAAAGCAGAACTTGAATTGCGTGTGGGCCTAAATATGTCGGTGGAGGATTCATCTCGTGACAGCATTAGCTGTGACTGTTACACCGCCTTGATCCGGTGCTGGAACAGAGATCATGGCATCCCACGCATGGCTTAAGGGTCCCCTGGAGTGGATATTCACCTCGTGGGGGCGGCACGGTTGCTTCGCCTCGACTCTCCACCCCAAGGGAATGCCACCACATGTCCCGGGACCGATCACGCCATGCATTGACTGGTCCGCGCATCCCTTTATTTTCCACGCAACGACCAGTCTTCCCTTTCACGGTCCCACTGCTCATATCATGGTGAAATCGAGTCGGCGCTTTCCATGGCCGAGGAGCATCGCCTCCGCACCATGCGGGGGGAACGTCGAAGTGCCGGTTCGGATCCCAAGCACTATATTGAGAATGCCGGGGCCACCGTTCCCCGCGGGCACGTCCAACCCTTGCGCGACACTACCGGTGTTGGGCCCCAACTGTACATCCTCGGGTGTCACATTTTGCTGCGACAGATGACCGGTGCCGGGATTGCGCTGGGCAACCTGGACTTGGACCAATTAATCCACCAAGGCATGAAAGGCGGGCCAGCACCTTCAAACCGGGAAGGATTACTAGGCCAATTACTATTGCTGGCCACTACTGGTGTTAAGGATGCATTCAAGTTCTGTTTCTGATCGGAATTTGCTCCGGGCCCAGGTATTCGCATTCGGGAAAGCCCCGAATAATGGGACGATGAGACGGCTGGCCGACCTGCTTCGGCGTTCCTGGCAGCGACCTGACGATCACCGGGAGCCCCTCGTGGTCGTCGGATGGAGTGGATTCCGAGAGGCGTCCGATACCCGTATGACATACCTATGTAGGCCGGAGGTCCTCTCTTGTGCTCGTCACTCGTGCGCTCTTGCATCCCGTGGAACGGATCTCCGTAGCTCACGCGGGTTGTACGTGAATCCGTGTTTGCACTAGGTTAGGGTGAGCAAGGGCGAACAACTCCCAAGTGGCACCGCAATTGAAACAGCGGGGGATCAAATATTGCGTGGAGAACGAGAGCGAGTCTGTAATCTCTTCCCTCTGTACATCCTTTGGGCCCCGCGATCATCTCACGCACCATTGCTTTAGTTTGTCCCGAGGCTTCTGGAGGGCCCACACGTACATTGGCTTAAAATCACCGACTCGATAATTCTTTCCATTTGAGGAACTAGTAGTCGGTCTTCCCCTGCAGAACTCCGCCGATACAGCGGATACGGCGTCAAAAATCAGGAGGGGTCGTATTCAGGGCCTTTCCCTCATGGTTAGCCTCATCTGCCGTACGGGGCCTATAGCCTTTCTGGGCGTTATCGTCGAGTTAGACTGTCCATCCAGGACTCTGCTTCTACGCAGGTGGACGTTTGGTGGTTCAGGGACGGCTGATCGAATTAGTCGACCACCAATCGCCATCCTTGCATTGTCCACTTGGTGAGACGAGGTGAACGCCCGTTGCCGCGCCAAGCAACGGGCCAAGACCCTGCGTGCGGCCGAGGTTGCAGTGCATTTGAATCTACAGCACGTCCCCCGACGTCAACAACATTTGGGATACGGGATGCCGTCGGAGTTGCTCATAGCAGTCTTTATAAAGGGCATTGGGTTTGTGAAGAACGACAATATCCTTCTCATGGTCTAGAAAACCCGTTCTTACATTCCTGGCGTACCTGGCGGCATCCCATCTCCCCCCGCTTCGATTCAACAACCCGTGGGAGTCTTTGGATAGTCCGCATAGGACTTGATCAGATGTTGCAGAAGATTGTCGGTCTGTTGGCCGTCCAGGCGGCTCTAGTTGCAAGCCTACCGGCCCCCGAGCCTGCTCCATCGCCGCCAGGAGTTCCTTCTGCGTCAACTGCGCGAAGCGAGCTGGCTGCGTTGACCGTTGCACCCCAAGGATCTCAAGATGGTTATTCCCGGGCTGAATTCCCGCATTGGATCACACAAAGCGGGTAAGATTGTTTCCCTCCAGCCCCCTTCTTGGGAGATCCGCCTCTCACCCCGCACGCAGGAGTTGCGATACTCGGGATGTCGTTCTCAAGCGCGACGGAACCAATGTAGTGCAAAGCGCGAGTGGCTGCACCACCACGAGTGGTACTTGGGTCTCGCCCTATGACGGCGCAACCTGGACGGCCTCGAGTGATGTCGACATCGACCATCTCGTTCCGCTCTCCAATGCCTGGAAGGTGGGCGATATTCTAGTCGGAAAGCGCCCAAGCGAGGGAGGACTAACATATATCCATAGTCCGGTGCATCTGCTTGGACCACTGCTGACCGACAGGCCTTTGCCAATGACTTGACTCACCCCCAACTACTGGCGGTGACGGACAATGTGAACGAGTCGAAGGGGGATAAGGGCCCCGAGGAATGGAAGCCTCCTCTCGGTAAGCGCACTGGACGTGGGTTCTCGGGTTACCCAGTTTGCTGATCCATAGATAGTCTCGTATTATTGCACCTATGCGGAGATGTGGGTCAAAGTGAAGTCGGTCTATAGTCTCACCATCACGTCGGAGGAGAAGTCGGCCCTGTCCGATATGCTGGATACGTGCTAGAGAGTCTCACTGCCGCGACGGGAAGCCGCCCGCTATCGAGAATCCTGGACTACCAATGTTGCACTGAAGCTAGAAGTCCGGAGAATAAATTCACTGGTCTCGTATCGCCTAACTACATTCTCCAGCCCCAGATCGCATTCTGTCGTGTTCATTTGCGACTAAAACCTTATATACGGCGCAGACGTAGTTGTTAACACCTTGGCTTTAATTCTACAGCCTGGGGATTAAAGCTATGCGGTTCCACACGACACGTACGAATTGCCAATGTATCCCATAATCGGGAACCTCGTGAATGTAAGACTATTATTATATGCACCCAACATAATATCCATGATGACACGCCTAAGTGCAGATCAGAACGACCAGCAGCAGCGGATAAGACGTGCGTTGCAGAGATGGGCGGAGCGGAAAAGGTAAAGAGGTGCGGGGGAGCGGTGTTGTTCTCGTTCTGCGCTCGACCTGTCCAATATTCAACGACCGGTCAGTCCGGCGAGATGGCCATCCAGGCGGCTCGATATTGATGCTGAGTTCTTCCATACATTTCCACCATGTACCTAGTCTACTTTCGGTGAGAGTGGTCTCCTTGTGGTCTAAAATACTGATGTCCAAAAAGGTCCCTATTGAGTGAACGAGCTAGAAGCTTTCGCGGCGGAACCGACAACAGCAGCCACCCTGAGGCACCATGATCCCATCGTAAAGGGCTTTCCCATATTCTTAATGCGCGCGACAGGCTCGATCAACAGGGCCGAGAAAGATGAGCCGTGATCATATCCAGATAGGCCCCTGCCCGCGGGGTGGTTGATTCCACCCCTTCCAATTTGGCCGCATCGTCCCACAGTCGCAGAGAGACCATCTCGTCTCGGAGAGGATCTTTGGCAAACTCCTCTAGCTCGCCTCCTTGGAAGGGACCACCCTGAAAGGCGAGTGATTTTTGGGAGGCGGAAGACAAAGAACCGTAGTAGGCACGGTCCACTGCCGTGAGGTATCTGATGGTAGCCGATCAGAATAGGCGCAGACGGCTTGAGAGTAGGGTGTTCACGTACCGTTTAGCCGCAACGTGGCTCCTGACCAGCCGACAAACCGTCTCGCTAAATCCCAAAGATTGGAGATATGCTGCGCCAATGTCTTCATGGCCGACGCGGCCGACATTCTCAGTGCCCTCGCGAATGTTCATGCGAACCTCCTTCGTGGATTCCAAGGGGATGATTTGACCGATATCGTGCAAAAGCGCCGCCATGACCAGCTCGTCTCGAGCCCCTGTGCCAACGCATGAGATATTGGGGATTGAAAAAGTCTCCTACGGGTTTCATACCGGATTGGCGCGCCTGGTTTGCTGCTTGTAAAGAGTGTTCGAGCTGGTTGATCGATTCCCCGATATAGTCACCTTGTCCATACTGCTCAAGGGCACGGACCAGAGTCTCGGCCCTTGTCACTGGCGTTTGGGGCTCCATGGTTATGGAATGGAATTTGGGGAGAAATATGTTGCAAGATCAGAGTCACGAGGATCGGGGTGGAAGAGAAAAACGATCGAGGGCGGAGGCGGCCGGACGGGGATGTCCCTTTTATACGTCCCGTGGATCCTTCGGGCTCTTAAAACAGGACTAGGAATTACGTCTTAGAGGAGGAATAACCTTCGATCCGGTGATCACCTGATACGTTGCAAATCTCGGCATAGCCCAGTACAGTACAGTTAACTAGGATGTGAACTCGATTACCGTTACTGTCGTCCGTGGGACCACGTTGAAAAATCTTCTCTCTCTCTCTCTCTCTCTCGCTCCCTTCACTCCTTGAAATATGTTGTACAAGTATTTTCTGAGGCAAAGTAGGTATCTGAAGCCTATCGCTACCTACAGTGGGGAGGATACCCTGGCCCATGGGGTTTGCCGCTTTCCTCTGCTCTTGTCCCCTGGGGCTTTTCTCTACTAGTCTTGATTAGAACTAAGCTGCAGAACCCATGTTTGCGCTTTCTTCCACAGTCAGCATGGGCGATCCATAGGCATAACGTTCCCGTCCTTCCTTGTATTCCTCGCCCTCCTTCCGCATGTGGGTAGCGGGCCAGAGCTTCTGGCGGTCCGCATAGTACTGGTCATGCAAATTGCCCTCTGTGGCGCAGTTGTAAGTGGCGTAGATGGCGCGTCGGTCCTTCGGACTAGTGTTGGCACCACTGCGGTGGGCCAAGTAAGAGCCGAAGATCAATATATCACCTGTGGCTTCGGTTAAATTCACCCCACTTTGAGACCACTCGCGAAGTGGCTTACCCGGTTGCAGATCGCAGGGTGTCCACGTTTGGCTGTCCACCCAAGTGTGTTCAATGCAGCGATCGCTACCCAGAGGAACCTCCATGCGATGGCTGCCGTTAACTACATCCAGGCCACCGTTGGCTGCATTCATGTCATCCACAGCGGCAAGAATGGTCAAGTGCTTGATGTTCTTGACGTGTGTGTAGGCATTGGCGTCGATATGAGGTTCAAAGCCACCTAGAAGGGGGTCCATAAGTGATGAGGATGATCACAGTTTCAGCAACAAAATTACATACCACTTCCAGCTAGCTTATAGTTGATCTTCTCCTTGAAAAGGAACATCTCCTCACCGGCGAGCTGCTTCAGAGTGCTGGTGGCCCGTTCTCCCCGCAGGAAGCTGTTGAAGCCAGGATGGGAGTTCGCGAAGTTCTCGGTGCGGCACAGCACCCGTTGGCCATGACCATTGACCTCCTCATAGGGCATCCATGGCACATCGGGGGTCCGCGGCAGGTCATGCACCTCCTGTGCCCATTGCTGGAGCAGCTTGGTCTCCTGCGGGCTGAAGAAGCCCCGCACCAGAAGATAGCCGGACTCCTGGAAGCTTTGCAGCTGCTCGGCAGTCAAATCATAGTGGAAGTTGTCCATGACAGGCGAGTGACAAGGAAATGAGAAGAAACTCGTCGGTATTCAGAAAAGAAAAAGAAAAGAATGGACCGTGCTCGAGGGATGGCAGCCGACGGAGGGTTTTTGTTTTATAGATACCGAGGTGACAGATGGCTCCGACGGGGCTTCTGGGCTCGAGCGGGTTCCCACACAATGCTCACTCGGCCTTCGCACCGAGATCACCGAGATCTCAGCCCGGTCTATTCCTGTACTGATCGATCGGCTTCGGCAGACTAGTGGTTGATCCTACGTGGCTCGGTTGAGTTGTGCCTCATGGCGGCATTCAGGGCCAGTCGGAGCCATGCGGGTGTGTTGGTCTATCCCCAACCTGAGATTTTGTTTGGATGTTTGTCAAGTTTTCTGTGCTGTCCCTGGGCCTGGTCGGGCAAACAGTATGGAAGAACTAGCAGTCCCAAGGCCAGCCAGTCGCAACGGCTGGCGAACAGCACATGGGCCGAACCGCACGGTTTAATAGGCTTGGCATGCTCGGGCCGTCCCCACCCGTCCCCCACATTCAACCAGCTTCAACAACCTTCAACAAACAAGGCTCCGCGCGCAACGTGCGACGGTTGTACTAAGGTTGCTTTGTGCCACGCGCTGCGCACGAGACAAGCTGGAGTGGAGCTGCGGTTGGTTTCCCGCGTGTTTCCCTCGGATCACTGGTGGTGCACGGATGTCGCTCCGAGGAGCTTGGCCCTGTTCTAGCCCGCGATGTGGACCTATTGACACCGCACTTCGCACCGACACTCACTAACGCGCCTCTCGTGGCTGCAGCCGATCTTGCCATTGGAGCTACCGGAAAATTAAGCACAAACGGTTGCAGTCCTCCTGAAAACGTGCACGACTGCAGGTCGCGACTACAAATCATGACCGTCTCGGAAGCGAAAGACCTGGCGTTGATTTTCTTTTTCCATCTCCTTTCTCTCAGATCCCAAGGCCCAAGCCTCCTTTCCCCCAACTAACATGGAGGCATCTCCAAGCGACTCCGTGATGAAGATGGACGGTGCCCAGACCCAGGAAGTGAACGAGAACTGGGATCTGGAGGAGACCACCCAGGCGGAGAAGAAGAAAGCCTGGGGTGTTATAAACGTGATTGTCGCCGGTACTGCTCTCTTCAGTGATGGATACAATGCTCAAATCATCGGATACATGGAGCCGCTCTTTAAGGTCCTGTACAAGAATGGCATGTCGTCTACGATGAAGTCGCGCCTCTCCAACTCGTACCTGATTGGCGAGATCTTCGGCATGATCTTCTTTGGTGTCCTGATTGACCGCATCGGCCGTCGGACCGGTGTGCTGGCTACAACCGCCTTTTTAATCTTCGGTGTGATTCTGGCCACTGCATCGCATGGGCGTACCGAACTTGGGTAAGAACGACGCATCAAACCTCCACAGGCGGTGTTCCGAGAAAGAAGAAGACGCAAAAGCTGACCCAAAGTAACACAGAATGTTTTGGATGATGGTTGTTGCTCGAGGTGTCGCTGGCTTTGGTGCAGGAGGTGAATATCCGGTCTGTGCCACCAGCGCCACGGAGGCCGCCGATGAGACCGCAAAACTCCGCAAGAATCGTGGTATGCTGGTCGCAATGACCACTGACTTTGCTGTGGATCTGGTAGGTTGACTCGATAAACGAATCCTCAGATGACGCTAACTGTAGAACAGGGATTCGTCTTTGCTGGTGTGATTGCCTTGATCGTCCTAGAATGCTATAATGAGGCAAATTCAGAGGGTGTCTGGAGGGTTTGCTTTGCGCTTGGCTTTGTGGTTCGTGCTTCTGAATCTTCAAGCCCCCCACCCAGCCCGAGATACATTCGCTAATTCTATCCAACAGCTGCCCCTTGTAATCTGCTTCTTCCGCCTTCGCATGATCAAATCGACACAATACAAAAAGCACGCGATGAAATCCCGCTACCCCTACTGGCTCGTACTCCGTCGTTATTGGAGACCCATGGTTGGAACCTGTGAGTATTGCCTTTGTACTTGATCATCGTTTGGACCTGACCTCGAATCTCGTCAGCCTTGGCCTGGTTCTGCTACGACTTTGTGACCTACCCATTCGGCCTTTTCTCCTCGACCATCATTGCGCAGCTTGAAACCAGCAACAGCACCGTGCAGAACATTGGATATGGTGTAAGTCCCGACTTCCACTTGAAGCACCATCCGTGGCGCTAACATTCGCTTGACTTTTCTCTAGACGGTCATCAATTCTTTCTATCTGCCCGGCTGTATCGTGGGCGGCTTCCTGATGGACCGCATTGGCCGTAAGCAGACCATGACTCTCGGTTTCATGCTCTGGGCCATCTGGGGCTTCGTTCTCGGAGGTGCCCTGAGCTCTATCCAAAGTGTCTTTCCCTTGTTTGTGGTCATGTATGGCATCTTCAACGCCCTTGGAGAGATGGGTCCTGGCGTCGCCACTTTCCTCTGTGCTGCCGAATCGTTCCCGACCCCCCTGCGTGGCCATTTCTTGGGGTTCGCAGCCGCAGTGGGCAAAGCGGGAGCCTCCATCGGTATTCAGGTCTTCCAGCCTATTCAAGACTCATTCTCGTCTACGGAAAAGGGGCAGCAAGGTGTTTTCCTGATCGGATCGGCTTTCTGTGTCGTGGGTGGCCTGATTGCCTGGTATTTCATCCCCGACATGTCGCGTGAGCTGGAGACGGAGGATGTGCGGTTCAGAGCCTATCTGGAGGAAAACGGGTACGACATCAGTTCCTACGGGGACGCTTTGGTGGTGAACCCAAAAAACTAGAGACGACAAACAAAAGAGATTCCCGCATGTGGGGAAACCGTTCTGTACTTTAACAAAATGGCGAAGAGGGAGGCTCGATGTACTGATGCCGAAGTTATCAATAGGAAAATCCATCCACTAGATATAATATGTGTACTGGACTTGAGGTCAGGAACCGCCGCAACGTACCTGGGGCAACGAGCCATACAAAAGGAATGGAACCGGCCCAGCCGGTGGGTCAATAATTCATTTTCCATCTCTAGCGATTGAAAACGTGAGCTTGGATCGGTGCGACCTATAGTGACATCGTGTCTTCGTTAGAGTCCTGCGACTTGACCTTCGAATGACTATTTTTTAGATCATCCATCTGTTGAGGCTGTTTCCCGAGACATTGCTCGTACTGGGGCGGAAGCCGTTGGAGTAAATCCCGGACATGGAAAGTTCGGAAGTGGGGTGGGGGCAGTGCCACATGTAGTACAACCAATCAAAATGCCGGATCGAAGGAATTCAATGGTTCTACCGTCCTAAAAATCTGGTTCGATGGTGAGAGAGTATGGGACTCGGACTTTGCAGGAGCGCGGATATATATTTCAAACTGAAGAATGGCACACTGCCGATGATGCTCAGATACTCGGCAGTGCCTCTACACAACAAATATCCGTGTATACGCATCGTCACGTACAGTATCTTTCATTTAACGGCACTAATGATTTAGCATGGTGCAAGCATACATCATCGGTCGGGGGACTTTTCCTTGGGGCTATTTGTTTTGGCTATGTCCGAATTCGTGATACTTCCCCGGGTCGTCCTTTGCCAACTTTTTGGGTCCAACCAAGGCCAGCCTCACATGAGACGGAGGACCCCGCTTGATAGAAGTAAGAGCTCCGGCACCAGACTGGTGAATACCAGGTTCCTGGAACCACTGAAACATTGTGAGGGAACTTTGTGAGGCAGGGCTCGCCTTCGCCCTCGCCTCTGTCGTTGCCCCACGAGGGGATCGTAAACGAGGCCGGCTTTCGGGGGGTTCGGGTCCTCCGGGTTCTCCGAAGTCTGCAGTTTTTTGTCAGTTTTTTGTCTGCAGCATTTCCAGGTCCGTTTCGCTTTGACGCGCAAACTATCCCGCGTGGTGTCAGCTGTACGAGTTGTGGCCTTGGGATGACAACTCCTCATCCCCGGATGGCCCGGCAGAAAGATGGGGGAAAAGTGTGCGTAAGTCCAGGTGGTTGGCGAATCGTACCAATTGAGATTGGTTCCGGCAAATCCGTGCTTATCTACCTCCATGGTGGTCAAGGCCAGCGACGATGCCGAGCCGACCGAGATTTAGGTTTCTGCCAGGATGAGCGCCGGCGCTAAGCCCCCAATGAGACACCGGGGTTGGAGCGTCCGCATGACTAATCTCTTCACCGAGGGGAAGAGGCGGGGCCGAGTGGAGCCCGGCGTTCAGCTAAGCTAGCCAAGCATTGCGCCGGTTGCTTCTTTTTCGGCAGGCCGACCAGCCCGAACGTCCTCAACCCTACCCTTTTGGGGGGCCCTGAGGAGTGGCAAGCCCTACCCTCGGTAAACCGACGTGGAATCGCGAGGGGAACAAGCTCTGAGGTTTTCTTCTTCTAGACGCTTCCCCCCCCCCCCCCCCCCCCGGATTCCCCCAGTCCATTCCCTCTTGCCTCTCATCGGTTTCCTCGGTTTCCTTCCTCCCCTTCTCCTCCCGTGCTGTCTCCCCGTTCACGCTGTCTCGACCCTCACCGACTGGACAGATATGACTTCCCCCCAGGGAGAGGTCTCTGCCAACGAGACGCGGGATGTCGAGAAGGTCTCATCGGTGTTCCAAGAAACTTCTCCCATGCTGCTCTCCGAAGAGCAAGCCCTCGCCAAAGCGAGAAGCAGCCCGAGCGATGCCTACCCGATCCTCATCACGTACGCCACTGATGACCACGACAATCCGAGGAATTGGCCCAAATGGCGCAAATGGTATATCACCTGTTTAGTTAGCATGCTCAATGTTATCACGTATGTCGAATCTCGCTACTCTCGCTCTCGCTCTCTCTCTCTCTCTTCCCCCTCCCCCACCTTTGATTTTCCGGAGAACCTTCTAACCCATCCGATTCCACAGATGTTGGTGCGCAGGAGGCATCTCATCAGGCGCCAAGGGAATCCAAGAGGAGTTTGGCGTCTCGAGTGAGGTCACCACCTTGTGTCTGTCACTGTACGTCTTGGGGTTTGCCATTGGCCCCGTCCTCCTCGCTCCGCTTTCCGAGTACTTTGGACGCCAGCCCGTCTATGTGGTGTCGTGGTTCCTCCTGTTTATCTTCCAGCTTCCTCTCGCCAAGGCTCCCAACATTGGCACTGTGCTGGTGTGCCGATTTCTCGCGGGTTGTGCAGGAGGCGCCCCGTTGGCCAACACCGGCGGTAGTATCAGTGACTTGTGGGAACGAAATGAGAGCGGAGGCCCCATGGCCGTTTATGGTCTTAGCAGCACATTTGGCCCCCCCATGGCCCTGGTGGTCACGGGCTATATCGGGCAGAACGCGGGGTGGCGGATGATCTTTTGGGTCTTGATGGCCATCACGGGTGGCGTATGGATCCTCTTGGTCCTCACCGTCCCCGAAACCCGTCACACAACCATCTTGCAGAAAAAGGCACAGCGGGCGTGCAAACAGATGCACAAGGAGAATCTGCGATCGGCGGAATCGACGACCGATGTCAACGCCAGTGAGCGGAAAGGGTTACACCAGCTGTTTGCCATCACCCTCACGCGACCCTTCCGCTTTCTCATCTCCGAGCCAATCACCACCTTCTCCGCCATTTACAATGGCTTTCTCTACGGGCTCGTTTATCTCTTCAACGAGGCCATCCCTCTCGTCTTTGGTGCGCCCAAGGGGCATCCCTTCAGCGGGGGCGAGCAGGGGCTTGCCTTCCTCGGCATGGCGCTCGGCCCCATTATTGCCTTCTGCTTTTACCCGCTCCAAGAGCGATACTACCTCCGTCGGGTCGCCGAGAACGGAGGCAAGGGAGTGCCCGAGGCGCGGATGTGGATGGCCCGGGGCGGGGCCATGCTCATCCCCATCAGTTTGTTCTGGTTTGGATGGACCAGTTACCGTTCGGTTCACTGGATCGTGCCGATCATCGCCTCCTCCTTCTTCGGAGCCGGGATCTACATCGTCATTCTCAGCATCCTCAATTATGTCGTGGACAGCTATCAAACCTATTCGGCCTCTGCGCTTGCTGGTGTGATTTTGGTCCGCAACATAGTGGGGGCGGGCTTTCCCCTGTTCGCCAGCCAGATGTATGAGAAGCTGGACTATGAATGGGCGTCCAGTCTGCTGGGCTTCCTCTCCATCCTGCTTGTGCCCATTCCTTTCATCTTTTTCTATCACGGCAAAGCCATTCGGCTGCGGAGTCCTTGGGCCCGAGAGCATTTTGATCAGACTGCGGACAACCCTCACTGATGACGGTCACGGTACGTGTCCAGCGGTGCGACGGGGAGGAACAGGTGCATTGTATGATTATCACTATAGAACCCTGCGCCCTCGAATTTTACTTCATTTTCAACGAACCCCGTTTTTCCATGTTGCCACTCTCCCGAATAGCTGTACCAGTAGCCCGCCTGTCTTCTTCGATCTTCTCTTCATCTTCCTCCATAATTGGTCTACCCCGGACGTCGCCGCTAGTCGTGATGGCAAGTGTTTTCGCGCGGTCGTGCGTTTTCCGGCAGGGTTCCGACTACCGGCCCCACCACCAAGGCCGGCGGCGCTAGAAATTGGGATGAGTTCCGTATTATGCACGGGGTGACAAGCACCGGCAATGCTGTAGCGATCCCGGGATCCCGACTTCCGATCAGCGGGGTCACCCGGAGGAAAGACCACTCAATGAACAGTGGACCTGAGGAGGCCGTCAGTCCAGTCAGCAGATCAACCGATCAACCGATCTTGACGAAGATTGGAGGGAATGGAAAACTAGCCACGTCGCCGGGATACACGCGCACGGGTATTCACATTGTAATGAAAGCATCGGGGATCTCATGGCCGTGAATCATTCTTGTCAGGCTAAGGTTTTTGTCCATGTATTCCCACCTCCAGGCCCTGTACCCGCAACCTCTGAAATAGGTATCGGGACACAAGTTTGGTTGCATAGATACATCTTCGTAAACCTCTCCAGTGCAGTGGCGATGACATATTTTGTAATCCTCCGGATCTGTAGCCTCGGCATACTTGCCGACCCAGCATCTATTCTACGACATCAAATGGCACATATCAGTAGATAGCCAACCACCTGGTTTCTAGGGAAAAAGAAACAAAAAGAAAAGGCCAGAAAATGAAGGGCTGCCTTGGCGATCGGAGAGTACCAGAACGCAATGCATGTAAAGGGACCTCTTTGAGCCCGGAAAATGGAGGAGCATTCAGCCGGGCCTTGCTCGCAGAGTGAATATCTGGGTTGGACTGATCAAGGGCCGCTCCACGGGATGAGGCTTTGGCCAGGTAACATGCCTCGTCTCCGGCGGAGTAGCTTTTGCGTTCTTGACCAGCCTAAAGGCTTTTTGTTTGGTTCCACCAAAATGGGTAATATGTTGACCTCGGCTCCCTGATCGGGCCCTAGATGCCCGTGACTCTCTCAGATCGGGAGGGGAGACGGCTGGACCAGTCTAAACAGGCATGGTTCGCAAGCATGCACCACCCGGACGATGCGCACGGGGCTTCTCGAATCAGGGTCCAGTAGTTCGCTTACCGTGCCCATTGTACCCGATGCGCCAACCGTCCACTCAAAATCAATCAAACAAGGCCGTCGAGGGTCCCGAGATCGATGGACTCGATCGACGGGCAGTCGATTCAATGCGCCCCCTCGAAGGGAAATCATCTACCGCATGGATAGTGCCGCACCGGCACTCTCCCAGGTGCATCCGCCCCAATACACACGGGCGCATCTCGGTTGCGACCGCCCTTGGGAACCGGCACCCTCCGTGGTTCAGTCCACCCGTCAAGTCAAGACAGGAGCGGGATTCAAAAAGGGTTCCACGCCTCGATTGTCATGGTGAGGAGAGGAGTGGGTTGGATTGTGGAATGTTGCCTGTCGACCATCATGAGCACCCTATGGAACCACGATGTGGAGAAGCGCGCGGCAGAGGGGCAACCATCGCTCTTCGAAGACCACACAGGCAGCATCCCCGCGTCGACCTGTGAATACGGCAACTCGTGGTACGCCAGGGTTCAGCGATTGGCCGGGAAGATCAACGTTGAGCAACGCGGCATCGAGCGCGTCCCCGAAGACGAGAGGAACGATCGTTCGTACTGGAACATTGGTTCAATGGTACTTGTACCGTGGCCATAATACACGCTGTCTCTAATCGGTGCTCACATCATACTAGTGGCTGGCGGCCAACATGGTGGTCCCCTCGTTCACCATTGGCGTCCTGGGGAAGCGATTGTTCGGCATGGGATTCGTCGACGCGGCTCTCGTCATTGTTTTTTTCAACGTGATTGCCGTTCTGACCGTCTGCTTTTTCTCCATTTTTGGAGCGGCCTGGGGGTTACGCCGAATGGTCCTGTCCCGATTCTGGTTCGGCTGGTGGGGCGTGAAGCTAAGTATGGATGAAACCCAGGGCAGCCTTGCCGGGTCAATGACTGATCATCTGTCGTGATTCGGGGCATCAACAGTCGCGCTATTCAATGTTCTTGCTTGTGTCGGCTGGGCAGCCGCCAACGTCATTGGTGGAGCTCAATTAATCAATGCGTTGAACCCAAAGGTGCCAGGTGTCGCTGGGATTGTGATCATCGCATTCTGCACGCTCCTCGCCGTGTTCTTCGGCTATCGCGTTATTCACGCGTACGAATACTGGAGCTGGATTCCAACTTTTATTATCTTTCTCGTCATATTGGGGGTCTTCGCCCATTCCGGCGATTTCATCAACCTTCCAATGGGAGCAGGGAACGCCGAATTGGGCGCTGTGCTGTCGTACGGCTCTACGGTGTTCGGCTTCGGTACCGGCTATACGAGCTTCGCGGCGGATTATACGGTCTATCAACCCAGTAACCGCCCCCGACGTAAAATATTCCTGTCAACTTGGCTCGGATCTTCCCCACCCTCCTGTTCACGGAGCTTTTAGGCGCTGCTCTTATCAATGCAACGGCCCATAATGGCGGTGGCAACGCATACCAAAAGGGGTATGATGATGCTGGAGTAGGCGGACTTCTTGGTGCGCTTCTATTCCCGCGGATCGGGGGATTCGGCCAGTTTTGTATCGTTATCCTTGCCCTGTCGATCGTGGCGAACAATTGCCCCAACATCTACTCAGTCTCCCTCACGCTGATGGTGATGGGACAGTGGACCCGACATGTCCCTCGCTTTATCTGGACTGTGGTCGCAACTGGAGTATATGTTGCGATCGCCATCCCGGGATACAGTCACTTTGAAGCAGTCCTGGAGAACTTTATGCATTTTATTGGATATTGGCTTGCCATCTATGAAGGTATTGCCGTGACCGAACATATTGTGTTTCGGAGGGGGTTTGCAGGATATCGACCTGAGGACTATGATATGCGAGACAAGCTACCCCTGGGGATCGCCGCATTAGTTGCATTCTGCTTTGGAGTTGCTGGAATGGTAACTGGTATGAGTCAGTCATGGTATGTCGGGCCTATTGCTCGGTCAGCTGGTGGTGACGTTGGGTTTGAGTTGGGATTCGCGTTCGCTGCAGTCTCATTTGCTATTCTGCGAACGATTGAACTAAAGATATTCCAGAGATAAAATGCTGCAAATCTGTTGTTCATCACCAAGCAAGTATGTTATGGTTTGCTGGGAGCATTGCGAGTGTCTGCGGTACAGTTCTCAGGAGAGAGGGACGGCTTGCCAGTTGCAACTGGGAGCTGGAAATAGGAATTCCCGAGTTATGGGACAGCTTTATGCACATTCAACAGTCTCTATTAGATCCAATATAAGAACTATTCGTCGCAGTCCTCAAAAAATATCACCCTTGGCTGAATCCCAGATGAAGCCAGTGACAGGAGTTCGTCATGGAATGAGAGAACAGGGAGAAAGACTTGACCAGCGCCCTACAAATGGCCTTTGCAGCCATATAGCACCTGGTTTGCTTAGCTTTATCATTATTACCGGCAAGCGTAGACAGGGAAGTTAGCATGCTGGTCGCGCTAAGTCATGCCATGCACTTCCATCTTCCAGCTACGGCGAGAGCTGATGGTTGACTGTCTTCTACTTGAGGTCCAAATTCTCTGGGCTGGGGGGAGGCGGGATCTAGTCATTCAAAGATGGTGGCCGAGGAGCGGGCTGTTGCTGGCCAGATGTCTTCAGGAGTTTGTTTAATTTATATGTATATTTAGAGGACTATGTTAGATGAATTTCGATCTAAAGAGTCCTTCCACTGAAGCAAGATCGAAAGTATACAAGGTCAGTTTGACCAAATATCGTGGTCAGGGATATCCTCTTCGTAGAATACTTCTCGCACATTTCGAAACCCAGCTTTTGGTGAATTGAGAGGCCAGGGCTGTCCATTGCCGCTCGCAAACAATGCAAACATTGCTCCTTCGAAAACGTACCAGCCTGACGGTGCAGTTGCCATCCACGAAGATGGAAATGAAGCTAACCATGACACGGAAGATTCACCGATATTATACCCCATCTGGTAGTGAAGTGGCTCAGCACGGATGTGGAATGTCAAATTGCTTAAGCTTGATGTCGGAAGAGGCTTTTCATCGTACTGTCCGCATATGTTAGCCTCTGTAATATATCAAGCAATAACAAGTTTAGATCTATACCTCGGCTGTCTCATTATTTAGAAACGATGTGTATATGCACATCCCGGTGCTATTCCTGCAGCCGGTTAGACCGATATCCTGGTGCTGCAGCTCACTCAAGTAGGCACTGATTCCAATTGTTTGGTGACTTCGTAGACTACCATCAAATGACAGTATTTCTGCAGAGAATGTCATGTTAAGTGAGCGCTGCTTTCGCAAAATAGCGGCTGGAACATCACGATCGCTAAGGGAAAAGACATTGGCATGAAGTATCACACCGCCAGAATCACCAAGGTGGGCTAGAGTGTATAGCTGGACGTATGGGGTACGTAAATGGTACCAAGATAGATCCAAGACTGCTTTGTCAAAGGCATCATAGAAAGGTTCCAGTTTGGCTTTTGAGGAAGCTGATGCCTGAGAACTATCGAGTAGTATGGGTTCGCCATGATTTAAAATCGGCCAGCCGCTCTCCCAGTTCACGGAGCAAAGGAAAGTTTCTCGACCCAGAGGAGAGGAGCCATTCACGTTTCGCCGAGCGAGGAAAACTGCGTACCAGTCTCCTTGATAGGTATTGAACAAGGTTGCGTGACCGGTCGACTGGACGGTGAGATTATCGAAGCCATACGCGCCGTTGTAAATCAGTGGGTTATTTGGGTTTGGTTCCCATGGGCCTTCCGGGGAAGCTGAACGAGCGATGGTGGCTCGATGAAGCTGGTCAGTACCACCTGTGTCAAGTGTCAGAGTTTAGCCTTTGAGGAGGAGAGGAATATTCACCCTCAGCGATTAGTAAATAATACCAATTACCAAATTTGAACATCTTTGGCCCCTCTGGGCGAGATGTCGCATTATGCGGCATCGTTCCATTCCATAATGAGTGGTATTCGCCTATGCATTTGCCACTCTCTAGATCCACTTCGCATTGATAGATTCCCCATATCCGGTCGATGTTATTGTTAGGCGACATCAAATTTAGGTATACTTTGTTTGTCGAAGGATCTTGGAACAGGGCGGGGTCAATGCCCCAGGGATCGCACCAGGTCGGGTCAGACCAATGCTGCAAGTCATCTGAGGAGACCCAAAACACACGCGGCCAGACTTTGGCCACCGGATCGTATGTCCATCGAATCATAGAAGTAAGATAGAACTTGCCATTTATCATGCTAAGGGACGGTGCCCACGAGCCTATAATAATCAGATTCCGGACCTAGCCGAAAAAGGCACGAGGGGGTTCTAACCTGCAGATGTGGGAACACCGTACAATTGTAGTTGCGAGGGCCGTGTTAGAGCGTGAGAGAACAGCTCCCAACTCACAAGATCAGTCGACCGATAGATTGGCGTTCCAGGCCAATACTCAAACGACGATGTGGCAATGAAATACTCACTGCCAACACGTATGATGGACGGATCTGGATTCCAGCCCGAGATGATCGGATTATGGATGACAAGGTCTTGTTTTGCGCACAAGACGCTAGTCACTAGGGCGCTGACTAGATATATAATTCTCATGGTGAACAATGTATTTAATCACCTATAGTAGTAGGGGCAGCCTCGTTTCAACATTAAGTATGTTTTCATGCTTTCGATGAAGCGCTGGGGGCGGCTGGGGTTGCTCATGGGCTCCGGTACTTAGCCCGACTAGATCAAAAACTTTCCCGAAAAACCCCCGAACTATTACAGCCACAGTCCTCTTGGCTTCGTGTATCCTGAGCATTGCACACCACCGTAGCACAACGTGAATCCTTGAATCTACTCATCCTCTAATCGCCTCAATCACCTCTATTGATTCCAAGTTTGCACTTCTGGAGATGGCCGCGCCTGTCCGCATCTATTTAGATATAGTCACCGTGATGGTTTTCCTACCTAGGATCCTATTTCTTTCTTCTTTTCTTTTGAATCAATTTATTTTTATTTATAAATTTATCTACCTATTCTTTCTGTTAGCACATGGACCGGTAACTTGCTGCAGCAAGTGATAGATCACACAGGAGACCACATTTCCTACGTTTGGGTATTTAATTCTGCATTAATCATGAACTCGAGTATTGTAACCGCTGAGTATCGATCCTACGGGCAGGGTCGCCGTACAGGCCATCGGGACGCTCCTAACATAATCCTTCTGTTTTCTTCCTTTAATCAATCAATTTTTCCATCCTGATTTTGATGCCGCTAAATCTTATTCATCTTGAATGCATACTAGGCTATACACTTCTAGCTTGTTTGGACACTTCCATTCTTATTGTAAAGTATTGGTAGACTGCTGTTTCTACTATCAGAACACAAGATAATTCTGTCGGTGGAGCTCACTTCACTGTACTCTACTTCCCATGTGAATGCTCTTGCAAACTCGACTCTCCGTGTGGGTAGGCCGAGGGGACACGGATACCACAAACCAGGGGTCGCTAGATCATCCACTGCATCACAAATAGCCTAATAATTACATTGAATGCATCTTTCCGATCTCCAACTGGCCGCAGGGATATCCTCAAAGGAAACATGTGAGGCTTACCCCGACGATCCGAAGCAAACCGTTCCGTACAAGACCGGGTCGCCCAACCCCAGGGTTGCACGACCTTTGTTTTTGTTATCTTATTTTGTCCCCACCAAATGTGATGGGCGGACTTATTCTCTCACTGGGGATTTCTGATGCAGTCGGGATATATATCAATTTAAATATTCACGTGTGGGCATGAAAAGTTGATTCTTATATTGGGCTTTTTCATGCTTCTACTTTACGGTGGTGATTTGAATCGGAACCTCTAATTCATGATTGCGGCGCCGACGCTGCCTTCCCTTCGACGTCCCTTTCCCCGTAACACGGCTTCAAATGCTATCTATACATTCTTGTACGGACTTTTTCTTCGATATTGAATGATGGATCTGGGATGGGTGATCTATGCGTCTTTTGGAGAACAAGCGGTCATATCATCCCAAACGAGACCAACTAGAACCATAATTACAAGACTTTGAGATTATTAGCAAGAAAGATAATAGAAGTACTTGGGAAAGGTATTCACAGAAATGTGATTGACGAAGCGACCTAGGTAGTGAAATAAAGCCACATGTGTAAGGTAAATACTCTGACTTCTGCCTGTAGTTACATTCCGTCAAATAGACAAGGCGATCAGCCCCCGATAACACTAGTGCACATAACGGAAATTTGGATTCTCACGGTCAGTGAGATCTTCAAAAGCCAAATCATGAGATATTTCACTCGCGATTGCTTCCTTTGAACGGTTCCTAGCCATGATGAGCAAACGCGTCAGAATGACAAGAGCAACATAAACAGCATAAATAACGATGTGCACCAAGAAGCCATGCAGATAACGAGGAGCATCCCAGCTTTGGAAGATCTGGGGCGCGATCAGGTTGCCAACAGCCCAGCCAATGAAGAGCATAGTCATGGTAAAACTTTTCTTAGTTTGTCCAGCAATATTTCGGGTGATTAGCGAGATGATCATATTGCCTTGAGCAAGGAAGAATTGCGTGCAGTAGAACGCGATCAGCATTCCCCCTGCGTTTGACGGAGTCGGCGTAACGACCATGATAACGATTGTGCCAACAATTGCTGGGATTGCACATAGCTATATCTAATCAGCCATGGAAAGTTTCAATATTTGTGATAAAGTTCTTACGATCATAACCAAACACGTCTGTTGAAACCGCTGGGATGCCCACGCAGATCCGATCATGACAAGGATGGTCCAGGCACCCTGAGCAATGTTGAGGAGCTCGGTTTGAAGAAGGGAGAATCCGAACTGTTGAATGATAAGATTGGAGAATACCCCTAAGCCACCGATGACCAAGTTGGCAACCAGGATGAGCATGACACAACACCAAACCAGAGGATCTGTGATGGCCTCGATCACCTGGTACTTCTTATACTGTTTGTTCTCAATACCAGTCTCGTTATGTCGCACCCTTTCAATCATCAATCGTTTCTCATCTTCGGCAAAACACTTGGCGGACATAGGGCTATCGGGAAGGAAGATGCCAATGAAGACGGACCAACAGCAGGTGAAGAGCCCGAGGACCAAGAACAGGAGTTGCCAATTCTGGATCGGCCCATCTGTGAAGTGAGAGACACCAAAGGCTAGGAGCCCTCCGATCTGAGCCTTATTAAAACATGGCTTCCAGGAAGAGCGGGTTGCATCCTTACAATCAATTGCACCCCAGTCATGCAGTACCAAATCGAGTTCAAGACGGATTGTTCCTCTCTTTTGTACCACATTGCAGTTCTTTAAAAACATAAGCAAAATATCAACAGAAGAGGTTGCAGTACTGGACTAACATGAGCATCATTGCGGGCTGGACGCAGCTCTCAAAGAAGCCTAGCAGGAATCGGACAATCATGAGGGAGGCGAACTTGGTCGATGCCGCCGAGCACGCTACAACAGCTCCCCAGATGAAAACATTGACAGCCAATGTCTTTGCGACAGGGAGCTTTTGTAGGAGCAAGTTTTGCGGATACTCGCCAACTAGGATACCAATGTAGAGAATTGTTCCTAGCCATGAATACTGAGACATGCTCATCAGAGATCAGTCACAGAGGCACAAAGCTGGGAAGACTCACCTGCTGGCCCACGAGGTGTGTATCGTTCTTAATTCCCATGATAGAGGCATAATTCAAGATGCCCTTATCCAGGGACTGACAGAAGTAGGTAATCACCTGGATAACAAGGACCCGCCGAGTGATCTTCCAGAAAAGCCGTCGGTCCGTGGCCGCATCGATTTCAATCCCGGAGTCTGCCACATAGGGATCTGTCTTTTCTTTCCCAACCCCATGGTTGTCTACCACATCCAGGTCTGAATGCAGTTCTTCATGATCGACAGTCGTTGCCATCTCGCTTTCTTTTGAGGCCATGCTGCGCAATGAAGCAGTACGGTGTTTCAAGTACATCAACTCTCTTAACAGAGCCTTCTACCCCACTATTTGTAGGGCTCGTGCTATCTATAGAGCATATTACCGCGTGATTTCTCCTGGGTGAGCCGAAACTTTGCCCGCTTCCCCAGTAAAAACCCGCTTCGCGTTCAGGGGTTGGCGCCACAGGGCTCCGCGGGTGCTGCGGCGGGAAAATTGCCGGACATTCCCCCGGAACCTCATAAAACTCAACTGAAAGATATCGCTCGAGATGTGGATAAAGTTCAACAGCTATTCATGCCATTTGTTTCACAGGTCTGATCCGTTAAGGACATCTTCTCTTCTCCATGCTGTCAAGCAAAAAGGCGAAGAACACAACTATCGACTCGGTCAGATCCACCGGAGTTCCTCCGGCTGTCTCCCGTGCTTCGATAATTGAGTTTGCTTGAGGCAGCCAAGCTTGAAACTATCGGTTCTCTGCTACACAGGACGCGATTCAATTTATTTTGGTCTTAGAGCAGGTCAGAATGAAAGCGATACGCGCGCTAAAGAGTGTTGGCCCGGCACTATCAGGGGCTTCCGGGGGGCCCCAACGCTCTGCTATCGAACCGCGAGCGCGTACCAAACGTTATCCACGGGCATTTATTCTAGCATCCCGAGAGACCAGGAAGGGTGTTATTTCAAAATTGTGGCTACTATTTCATTTAAAATTCTCGAGTCAAACGTAGTCGTCGTTTTCAGTGTCTCTAATCCCTCGATGTACCAGAGTAAGAGTATATTAATGTCTGAACAGTTTGTTCTGATTCAGGGCCTCGCCATAGACTTTCTGTATTCTAACTGAGAACAAGAGCTTTTGTCTGGTGTGTAGCCACCTGCAATGTAACATTCCCAACAACTCGGCCAAGATTCTGTTTACCCCAGATATCCCGCACACTGTAGGCATGATTGGATACCAGTCCAGGGATATCTCCCAGAGGAATATTAATATCGGTTGTGTTCGCCAGCTCATTGAGTCCCAATATCAAAACTTTTCCACCCGTTAATGGGCCCGCCCAGATTTGTGTACTTTTCTCAACGCTCAAATCCGAGAGGTAGTTCACTGCCTGGCCAAGAGCATCCTGTGAAATACTAATAATTTCCTTATTTTTTAGCACATCCAAAGTATCTTCGGATAGCGTTTGAAGATCAGCACCGAGTATAAGGGGGGATTTTAGAGCGGCCCAGAAGGTTAGGTGTGTTTGCTGCTCGTATAGTGTCATGTTGCCGTTACCAATCTCCAGCATATCCATGTCCGCCCATGCTCCAGGCTTCTGGAATAAGCTGAGCTCTCTCATTTTTCGGATAATCGTCAAAACACTGCAGCCAGCATAACCAACATTTAAGCAGTATGCTGTTTTGCACTAAGCCCCCATTAATGGCTGCTCTTGTGCTACTTTGATATCAGGATGATGGTAAACTCACAGCACAGTCCGCTTTCGTGTCACTGAAAACATCTGTGATGTCTCCTGACATCCTATATGATTGGCTAATTTCTGCCAGTGGTCGTAAGACTGAGTGAACCCCAAAGGTTAATTGAAATAGGTCGCATGCAACTCACCATCGGCCCAATACCAGGGAAATTGATGACCCCATTGGCAAATAGAATAGAAGATATTCCGCCCGGTGTTCTTGAGTGCATCCCTCATAGCTGCAAACCGAACCTGCGGGCTCTCAGTGTTGGCTTGGAATCCTCCACAGTTATCGTATTTCAGATAGTCAACGCCCCATTCGGCATAGGTTGCGGCGTCACGCTCCTCATAACCCCAGGATCCTGGGTAGAATCCGCAGTCATATATTCTAGAGACACCGGTTAAAATGCCCTTTAAGAGACTTATGGCAGCACCCAATATTGGACTCACCCAGCGTCGCTATAAATTCCTAGCTTTAGCCCTTTGTTATGAACAAATTCTGCAATGCCCGCTACTCCGTCAGGGAGTTTGGTGGTATTTGGTTGCTGTTGCCCATTCTGGTCTCTTTCCATTGCTTGCCAGCCCTCGTCCATGATGAGGTAGTTGTAACCGGCGTCACGCAAGCCGGTACTGACAAGTAGTTCCGCGGTGTTCTCGATTACTGTTTGGTTAAAGTTGGTTCTGAATGTATTCCAGCTGGAGAATGATAGAACAAGGATTGTCAATTTTGGGTAAAATTATCTCGTATGACATAAAGGGAATAATGTCGAATACACACCTATTCCAGCCCATTTGAGGAGTGGCAGCCAAGCTTCCTAGAACGCCTGGCAGCATACATAGCCCAAGAATAAAATTTGATCGGACTGTAGTCGCCATCCCTACATATGTACCCTTGAACATATCTCAAGGTGTTCTCGCGTAGGTTAGTGCAAGGTAAAAGCTAAACAGTTAAGCTATCTTTTCGGAGTCTCTAATTTATATTTGCACTCCGTATCCAAGCAACTTCGGATTTAACGGGGTCCCGGCATATGTACCGGAGTGACACCCGTTTCCTAATTCAACTGGAGGATTGAAATGGAAGACACTCTCCCCTAGGTAAAGCCTTCAAGTGCCATAGGAAGCCAATTAACTTCCCCCTTTCACCAAAATGATGTTTTCCGTCTGTTATTTACTTTTAATTGCCGTGAAGTTGGTCACGGGCGAAAAACTCAGCTATGTCGCAGAACCAGATGCCTACGTCGCTACAAAGCCTGCGAATATCACGACTTTGTTAGATTTCATCGACTCTCGCGAAGATCTATCAAATTTATCCCAGATTCTGCGAGGACCAGCGGGGTTTGTAACTGCGTTTGACACAGCTCCCACTTGGTCTTTCACCTTTTTTGCTCCAAGCAATGTGGCATTCGAGCATACCGGGACCTACTATAGCTCTTTTGCTGCAACGCCGTAAGTTTCCCTTGGGTTGTTGTGTCAACCGCGAAAAATATACCTTTCTGACAACTGAGTTCAATTCCTGATCCAGGAAAGGGAAATGGTGGATCGGAAATCTGATCAACCATCATTATATCCCTAATTCAAAATTGACCACGAGCACACTCAGTTCAACTTTGTCTCGAGTACAGGTCGGTTTACTTTCTCTGATATCCTAAGTTGGCAAAATTCTGATAAGACACGTGATTGACTTGAGCAGACAGCAAGTTATCTTTACATCAGTACCCTCAAAGATGATAGTGGGCAAGTGATGATCAACAATGTTGCAACTGTCACTGGACCAGACAATGCGGTGACAAGTGTGAGTTGGTATTCCTGCCCAACTGAATGGTGAATAGACGAAAGCTAACAGTTTCTTCCTTGAATGTAAAGGGCATCGTTCATATTGTCGATCGCATTCTTGATCCGTCGGCTCAAATCTTCGAATCGGATCTACCTAAGGTATCACAGGCATTTATTGCAGGCAGCTGCTCAAACACAAATCTTGCTTATTGTTAAGCTAATGGTGGTTGGTGATTGCGAACTATTGGAGTTTCTACTGCTTTTCCGGAGACTCAGGCCATTAGTATCACGGATGGAAGGTTCTCGAAGTTGCTATTAAAGTTATTGACAACACTTGGGCGTTTCCCTATACTATACCGCTCCAAGTAAAACATGGTGGTGGAAATCTCTGGGAAACTACAATATCGACATTTTCCCTGTCTTCTAGTAACATAATTTCCGCTCACTCTTGTTCACTTTTGTTCCATCCTTCAATATTATCTAGTTCGTCTTTGCTCTACCTCTATAATTGTTCCTTCCTTTCTTTCTTTCAACTTGTGGTTCGTGATGTACTCCCTCTTTCATCCCTCACTTTCTTCCTGAGAGACCTGAACCTCGCAGCCATCACACCTACCAAGATGTCTGTGCTCAGTACGTATTCCTGGTCAACCAATGTTCTTGTGGAAACAAGCTAGATGTGTATAGCCTAGTACTGTCGGCATTCAGGACGAATAAGATCAAGGGTAATCAAAGTCAAGATGAGGACTTGATTGGCTAAAGGAAGAAGATTAAGGGGCTGGTTTGAGCGTCCCTATCGCCCGTACGACCGATACTCAGCGTTTGCGAAGTACGAGTTCAGGAGTAAACCAGAATTACAAATAAAAACGTAGGATATGTGGTAAGTTGCCGCTCCATGCGCTGACAGTTCTCAACTTTCAAGCTGCTTCAAAATTGTTCACTAGTGGCCCGGAGGAATGCCGGCGGTAGTTTACCTGCCCCCGACTTGGAAATATGTGTTCCTCATAACGCGCGTGTTCCCCGCATGACTCTAGACCCACTCACGCCCCTCCCCGCTCCCCCCGCCTCCGGGAGAATCCCCGGACATTAGACCCGGCGATCTTCTGAAGATAGATTTCCTAAAGTAGAGAAAGGATAAGGTAATTACGGCTAAAAGTAAGACATGTCTTTGTACATAAAGACAGAATATTCAAGTTGTCGCCATTGAAATATCGTCCATCTAAAGTTGTTCTCAGAGCTTGAAAATACGAACGTTATTAGAGATGAAAATGGACTGAGGCGGCTATGTCATAATAGGTGGGGCGAAATTTTGGAAATGAAGTATGCGCTGTTTCCTCAATAAACAGTGATCAATGGACAGATAAGTGTAAATGGACAACCACCACCTCCCAATGCTTTCTGAGTCGGTGTCACGAATTCGAGGTAAGTCTGATTCTAATAGCAGCTGTTATAGCTCCCTACTACGTAAGATTAATAGATCATAGAATATTGAACCGTTTACTCGTACAAGCTGACTACCAAAAAGAGCTGAAATTACCGGGGATCACCCAGAAAGCTGGACAAGGGTTTAGGATAGGAACATAAAAGGCAAGATATTTTGAAGCCGAAAGATAATTTATTTTCGAGAGAATGATACGACTAAAGTTTACTCGTATTTTGTATTCTCACAATAGTAATTGCAAACGGTATATGCACCTATATACACCGGATTTTGTCCGCCAGGTAGGGCTTTCCTTTCTGGGCTGCCGCCGCTTTAATGAGGGCGATCAGAGTGCTCAATGAACTCTTGCAGCACGAAGGAATCGACTTGAATTTTTGCAACTCTAACAGCCGAACAAGCATCTTCTTCACTGTGGAATGCCCTCGAACTGTTTCATTAAGGCTCTTAATAAATAAAGGGGCTCTTCTTAACCAGAGGGATAATAGAGGCCGCACTCCGCTATCACTAGCGGCAGAGGTTAGGAATCTCGACTACGTGAGAATTCTCGTCGAATCTAATGCGGATATTAATTCGGCGGATTTAAAAAGCTAGACGCCACTATTCTGGGCAGTTTCGAGGTAGCATCTTGAAACGGCGAAATACCTCCTTTTAAATCAAGACGTAAATAGCGACTATTAAGTTATTAACTACCGGACTCTTTTATTAATCGCTATAGAGACTGGAAATACTGAAATTATACGGTACCTAATCGATGCTAAAGCGAACGGAAGGCGACTACTCAGGATTAAACACGACCTCCTACTATATATAATTTTTTACCGGGATATAGGAACTATTTAACTTTTACTTAAGGCTAACCAGAGTCTGGCTAATTATCGCGTTAAAGGTTATACTCTACTATCTATAGCTATAGAGCTTAAAGATATTAGTATTACTAAGCTTCTTATCTATATAGGAGCGGATATATATATATTAGATAAAATTAGATAGCCTACCTTAAGTAAGTAGCTATTTAAAACTTATCTTCTACCTAATAAAATTCTGCTATAAGCTAAGTACTTATCTACTAATTATTATCTAATAAAATAACCTCTATTATTACTTATAGCAGAGTTCTAATATATCGATATTTTATAGGTACTACTTAATACTAGTATAAGCGTAAACTCGGTTAATATAAAAAAGTGGATAGCGCTAGCTAGACTGCGCCAAAAACCGCAAAACCGCAAAACCACAAAAAACCAAACCGTAATTAGGGGGGTTTTTAGGGCTAATTCTAGAAACCGTAATAGTTTTTGGTTTCTAGGTTAGAAACCGTAATAGTTCTTAGGGCCCTAATAGTTTTTAAAGCGGGGCTAAAATATTACGTAGATAATATTCTATCGATATTTAACGTATTCGGTAAGCGAGCGGGCCATGTAAGCGAGCGGGCCACCCACCCACCCTCTACAATTTTAAATCACTTATTTTACACCAAAACGCCAATATATTCACTAAACTATCTCTGAGTGCACTGATTAAGCCTATGCCCTACCTGATTATATCCAGAGCACGTAAATGCACGCCTTTTTAGTGGTGCTATCGCGGTTTGATTGGTCTGAACCCCGTCTTCCGGAACCGGTTGAACCGGATTAATAGGTGGCTCAGTAGACCGTATGCGCTCCTGTGCTTCCTGCACTGATACACCGGCTTGGTAGGCTATATGCCTATTCGTACGAGTACGCTTTTGCTTAACTACTGCGTTTATAGTACGTAAATCCTAGTTTTCTTGCTCAAGTAGTATGCCGTTTTGTATAGCTATTTGATAGCCTTTGATAAGCTGGTTTAACGCGATCTGCGATGGCGATGGCGGGCTATTTGACCGTTTTTTTAGGAAAGCTCTGATTGAGTCTGCTTGTTTAAGTAGCTCGGCGACGGTTGCTGGTGTTTTTAGTGTAAACTAGCTTGATTAACTGCCTAGTCGACTCCCTAGTGGTGTAGGCGTATTAAGCTATATATTAAGCTTTGAAAGCACTCGGTCGGGGTCGAATAGCACTAAACTAGCTGCTGCGAAGCTATATTTAATAGTGTCGGTTTTAAATACGTCTACGCGAGCCTGTGGGTATGCTGCGAGGAAATTAAGCTTGTCGATATAGTTGATGCTAAGCCGTATTTTCTGATTAACTAAGCTTCCGTACGATCGTTTTAAGACCGTAAAATAACTAATATTAAGCGGCTGTAAAAGATGCGAGCTATGCGCTGGCATACAGACCGGAATTATCTTATTTTCTGAGTAAATCTGGTCGAATTATGGTATTAAATAGCTTCCGTAGCCGTCGAGGACTAGTAGTCGATATTGACCGATCGTACGACTAGTAGTAGCCGGAATAAAGAGCTTTTCTAGCTATCGAAGGCTAATTTCGTCTGTCGTCTATCCGTTTAGGCTAACCTCGAAGCGCTAATCCCCGGGAAGGCTACTAAACTACGCTTGGTTATATAGCTTGCCCTTAAAGATAACTGTAGTGTTACGCGGTGCCGACTGGTCACTGTGAGTTGGAGCGTCCGGGTTATACTTGCCTAGTTCTAACTGCGGATTCCAAGAGTATCTCGTAACCGTACCGTTGCTATGCTTAGCCTTACGTCGGGTTCGGGTCCTGTTGAGTATCTTGCAGAACGTGCCAGAGGTGCGCGCCAAGTAGGTCAGTCACTG